ACCTTGTACACCGGGACTGCAGGGCGGGGATGATCTTTGACAGGTAGTTACAGATGAGGCAGAATCTGGTATTTTCAGTGAATTTCTCAATCACTGGCAAGGGAAAAGAAAACCAGCTCCCGTCCGTTCTGAGCCTTCCAGAGCCCTGGAGGCCCCACACTCTTCCGAGCTCTCGTGCACGAGCCGAAGCCATCCACAGGTTGGAGCGCTCCGGGAGCGAGGGGCTGCGGCCGGGGTGGCCGGGACTGGAAGCCAGCCGCGCTCCTCCCCAAAGCTGATGGACACGCCACCTCGATGGGATTTTATAAAATGCTTCCCTCCCTTCTGATGTGCCATGATTCTGGCGTTCTTGCCACATTCCTGTCCTTTTGCATAAAACTCCACTTGGCAGGTTGATGATGCCCCACCTTCTAATGGCGGGGGAGGGGACGGCTTGTTGCGGACTTCCCAGTGGACTCTGTCTCGAAGCCTTAGAGCATTCCACAGAGTGCTAACTCGAATTCAGAAAGCTTAGGAAACACCAGGTGCATTCTGTAGTTACCCAATGTTCTGGCAGGGGGGACCTGCCCATACTGACAGTCACTGTGCAGAGCAAATGTTGAAGAAAGGCTGCCAAAGCTTTTAAGATCAGAAGACACCCTTAACTGCCCTCCTCCTCCTCTTAAAACCACTCCTTCTCCCCAGACTCCGCAAGGCCGCTCCTCTCTCCTAGCTGATTACCGCAGAATCCTAACGCGAGAGATTACCAGTGTCCCTTCAAGGAAATCCACCGCACCAGGGCCCTTAAGATAGACAACTCACACGATACTCTCCTTCCCTGCCAGGTCAGCCCCTTGGCAAATAGAGGAGTCATGTCAGCTTTCTGAGTGCGACTACGTTTCCAGTATTATTTTCCCGGCTACTGTCTATCTTAGGGTACCGAGGGCAGAAAAGTCTACCCAGCAGTTTAGGGAAGACAGGCTTTCCATACCTCCCCGCCCTTTCTAAGAATACAAATTCCCAAGCCCAAATCGAACCCCGTGGGAGAGGAGGATGGGACACCAGGGTCTGGTCAGAATTAAAAGTCCCACCAGGGCTCTATCTTTAAGCTGCTGAAAGGGGAAACCCCCAGTACAGAGAGCTTCGGTCTAGATCGTCAGGTTGGCTACACACAGAGAAAGGTCAGCACGTTTCTCTGGGCCGGAAGATGAAAATGGTCAACAAGCTAAGACGTGTCTCATGTCCAAAGCTCCTACTTCCCTTTCGAAGGCACTCCTGAGCCAACACATTATCCCTGGGGGCTCTTCTTACCTCTCCGCAAAGCATTCTGGGCGTCTTGGGTCATGGCGTCAGCTTCATCCAGGATCACCAGTTTGAAGCCTTTCCTAGGAAAACAAATGGTACCATCTGAAGATTTCTTCAATCTCGCCCCCACTTCCAGGCCCAAACCTACACGTACAACTGTGCCACAAGGCCCTGCCTCAGAGAGTCCATTCCTCCTTGACCTCTGTGCAAAGCAGACATCTGTGGTCACACAGAGGACATGCCCATCACTCTCCACTCTGAAAGGAACTGAGGTCTGACTTGGGTATTTCTGTTGCATTGTTTCCTCTGGCACGTCTGCCTTTCTTTTGCGCATGCTCGGTGTCCTGTTACTCGGGGCATGGCGTTGCTTTTTTCCACCACCTTCGCCCTTCACTCATGCCTGTCTTTTCATCTTTTCCTTTGTTTACCACCATCCCCGTTGTCCATCCCGATCTCAATTCATTTTTGTTTAAATTCAAACTAGTTCTTCAGGTCTTAGGATGTCCTCAGTCTTTGGGTAACTAATAAAATGAAGTTAATGCTTCCCAAAGAACTTGCTAATATAGACTTAGGTAGTGTTTTATTTTGATATTTACATTATCTCTTACTAGCGTCCTTGTACTTTACCTCTTTTTGGTGGCTACTTTTGACAACGTCATTTTTTACCTTTACAAACTAGCAAAGGGGAGGATTAAAAAAATTAAGCTCTGTCATTTCACCGATCAGAATCTCTAGGGAGAGAAATTATGCAAATAATTCTTACTTAAATATTGTCCTTGTGCTAGCAAAGCTCAGGATTGGTCCCCGAACGATATCTATTCCTCGGTCGTCTGAAGCATTCAGCTAAGTGTGGAAGAGAGAAGCCAGAGTAAGTTAGAAATATGTTGGTGATTTCCATCAATCCAGCTTGGCAAGCTAGGTCTCTAGGTCTAATGACACCTAAGAGATAAACACTATTAAAAAGCCAAGATCACAACTGTATTTAAAACCCACAACTCGCTACACCATTCCATTACATTCTGAAAGGCAAATGACTGTGTTTCCTCCCCCTTTCGAGGACAACTCCTTACATACTCTGGCAGAATAGTTAATTGGCCTGGCCACAGTGAACAGCACCTCTGGCATGAACAGAATCATGCTAATTTTAGCTACTGCAACCCAGAGCAACCCAGAAGTTACACAGTCTTTAATACACTGAAGTAAGAACATTGGTGGCAGCAAGGTTCTAAGATCTATAACAAAAAAATAAGCTACATTTTTTTTCTTGCAGTAGACAATATTTAAAATTTTGTAATCTACGGATATCAGTCAAATCTCAGAGCAAACAGATGGCATACTCAAATTCAGTGATTTGAAGAGAATTACACGAAGAGACATTTTAAACGGTGGGGTGTGGGGAAACCACAAGAGCTATGCAATACCTCTGCAACTGCTGGGGCCCATTACCAACCCCAAGTCTTAAGAGGTGAGTTGGGGGGGTGGTGGTGGCACCTGGAGAAGGCTGTGGGGTTTGCCCTGCAGGTGGGGATGCTGTCAGCCTGTGGTGACCCCCAAGACAGAATCAGGCATCATTCTCCTTCCCCCGACTCCTGCCAGGGCCCCTACTGGCCAAACCTAACCAGGGGGAGCCAAAGCACAAGGCAGCCTGTAGTCAATACAGCTCAGCCTTCCAGGGCAAGAACGGGGGGAGCCACATGGAGAAGAAATCTGGAGAGGCACATGGGAGACAGCAAGCCACCGAGTGACCACTCACTGAGTGACCCGTGAATGTTGGCGTGTAAGTTGGCAAAGGCAAAGAAAAATATCTAGCCCGACCACTGCCCTCTAGCTAATGCCAATCCAGACCCAAATGTCAATTCTAGATAAAAGCCACTTGAAATATTTTATGTCTGTTCCTTTCCCCACCTCTAGCACAGCAACTTACTTGTAAAGTAAGACAAATCTAAGAGAACTAAGAGACTCGAGTTCTTTGCAGAGTAAGAAGAATCCTCTTATTTACCTCCAAGACCATGGAGCCAAATTCCTTATCTTTGTATAGCTGTTTCGCACAGGCTAGGATGGTGGAGGTCTTTCCCGTCCCCGGGGGACCATAGAGAAGCAGGTGGGGCAGGCGGTCTTCACTAATAAATTTCTGAACTGAGGGTTGGGAAGAAAGAGAGACCCCATCAGTTTCCGAGAGTTGCCTCATTCACCGTGGGCCCTTGAGTTGGCTTGAATGCACTTCAACACTACGTTCAAATCAGAGGTAGATGCAGGAATGAAAAATCTGAAGGACTCAGCTCTTACGGCAACATTCCATAAAGCTCAGTCAGATACTTCAAGGTTATTACTCAGCAGAGACATCACCAAGAAATTATACAGGTCCTCCGACTAGAATGACAGCAACTGACACATGGATGCTTACTGGTACTCAAAATGTCCTGATGAGAAATCAGATCATTCAGTGTCTGTGGCCGGTATTTTTCAACCCTGAAATACAATTTAGCATGGATTACAATATATACAAATGCAAGAACATGCTGTCATGTGCAAAAGAATCCTTTCATATCCTAATGAAAAGAGAAAGAGAAATAAAATCCTTTAACTTTTAATACAGACCACTGGTTCTCAACCAGGGGCAATTTTGTCCTTCAGGAAACACTTGGTGATACCTGGAGACATTTTCAGTTGTCACAATTGGGTGGAGGGTGCTACAGGCCTCCAGTGGATAGGAACCAGGGCTGTCACTAAACATCCTATGATGCGCAGGACAGCCACCATGCCCGCCCCCACCAAGTATCTAGGCCAAAATGCCAATAGCACTGCTCTAATTTCACCTTTCCAGCTGTCTGCCTATAAATAATCTCAACCTGGATGGGCACCTACTATTTGAAAGTAAATTAAAAACTGAACTCTTTGGGGCACCTGGGTGGCTCAGTCGGTTAAACATCTGCCTTTGGCTCAGTTCCTGATCTCAGAGTACTGGGATTTCGCCCTGCGTCGGGCTCCCTGCTCAGCGGGGAGTCTGCTTCTCTCCCTCTGCACACCGCCCCCCTCATGCTCGCTCTTTCTCAAATAAAAAATCTTTAAAAAAAAATTGAACTTGTACCCAAATATACATCAGAAGATGAATGGATAAATAAATGGTGGTCTATCCATATAATGGAATATTATTCACCCATAAAAAGGAATGAAGCACCCACACCTGCTACAACATGGATGAACCCTGAAAACATGATCCTATGAAAGCCCCCAGTCACAAAAGGCCACATACTGATTCTATTTATATGAATATCCACAATAGGCAAATTCAGAGGAAGGGGAGGTGGGGATGAGGAGTAACTGCCAATGGGTATGGAGTTTCCATTTGGGGTAAAATGAAAAAATGTGAACTAGACAGTGACATGGTAGCACAACATTCTCAACGTACTTAAAGTCACGGAATTACACACTTTACAATGTTTACAATTGTAAACTGCATGTTATGTGTTTTTTCCACGATAAAAACAAACTGAATTCCTTATTAGATAAGACCAACTTGGACCTTTCTGAAGAAATCAAGCCGAATCCCTTCAGTTCCTAAAACATCATTCAGAGGCAGCTGTGGAAGTAGGATGGTTATGAGTGCAAGCTCTGAATTCACCTGGGTTCAAATCCCAACCTATTTCCTAGCTCCAGACCTTAGGCAAGTCCTTTAACTTTTTGGTTTTACAACTGGAATAGTAACTACCCAGGCTCTTTGTAAAGATGAAACATCTAGCAGGGTCCTTGCTAATCTAGCAGGAAGCCACTTAAATACAACTTAACTGGGGAGCGTTATTATCATCATTATTATTTCAGTTTAGAATTTGAGCCATAATTGCATTGAAGATTCCGGCAAGAGTAGAGAGCATTTTGGCACGAAGGCCGATGCGAAGTCAGAAGACGCGGGATCTAACCCCTGGGCTGTCACCCGGTGCGTAAACGAATGGGGGCGGTGGGAGTAGGGCAGCGGGAAGGCCTGGCAAAAATCCTAGAAGAACGGAGGGGACTGGGGAGCTGGGGATGTCAAGGCGAAATTCTGGGGCTCGGTCCGGGCCGCAGGTCGGGGGCGGTGGGGCGAGGTGCGGCCCCTTTCCTGCGGCAGCCGGGCCTCCTCCTACCAGGGCAGGTTTCTGATCTTGGCCGCCGCGGGCTGCTGCTGCTCCTGCTGCGCTGAGGTCTCCATGGCGGGGTGATAAAGGTGTGCGGGTCCGCTGGGGTCGTCGCGGCCCCCGGGGACCTGCACAGCCACTAGCCGCGCGCCGACCCCGGGACCCTGGCACTCAGAGTTCGCGCGCAAAAGCAACTCTCGCGAGATGTAACCTCCTGCTTCCGACTTCCTCCCTAGGTCCCGCCCCCTCTCCGTTGCCAAGGCGCCGGTTACCAGGTTACCGGGAGGCGCCGGCCGCCCGCCACCCTCCCGGTCCGCCCTTCCAGCCCCGCGCGGCCCTTTCGCCGGGGCGGCGGGGCTTCCTGAGCCCGGGGACGGGGGGAAGCAAGAGAGGCCAGGTCACTCCCTGCAGCCGCCAGTCATCATTACAAACTAAAGTGTCGCGGCCAAAGCCACTTTCAGCTACCACCAAAGTTCAAACACTTA